GACTGACATTAAAGTCAGTGCAAGAGACAAGAGTTGGAAACATTTCCCCCTTAATTGGACATATGCTTCTAAATAAATTCTTTTTTTATATATGTAATCCAGATTTATGGCTTGAACTGGATAGCTGAAATGTTTTTTCAAATGTTACCATGCATGATCATCAACAAAGAGAGTCTTAAGATTGCTTTGAATTGGACCCAATCCTACTCTGCAGGAGTTTTTGTAATTGTTATCAGGGGAGCAGAAATGAGCCCTGTTGATAATATATCATCTGATATTAGCCTTCCAAGAGGGCAGGTCATCTCATGGTTCAGTAACTGGTTAAAAGATAGTAAACAAAGGGTAGAAATAAAATGGTCAGTTTTCACAATGGAAACAATTGAATAGCGAGGTCCCCCAAGGATCTGTGTGGTGACCTAGGCTGTTCTACATATTCATAAACAATCTGGAAAAGGGGCTGGACAGTGAGGTGGCAACATTTGCAGACAAAATGAGACTACTCTAGATAGTTAAGTCCAAAGCTGACTGTGAAGTTACAAAGGGACCTCACTAAAGTGGGAAACTGGGCAACAAAATTGGCAAATGAAAATGAGTGTTGATAAGTCCAAAGTAATGTGCACTGGAAAAAATAATCCTCAACTCTACATCCAAAATGATGGGGTCTAAATTAGTTGTTAACACTCAAGAAAGAGATCTTGGAGTCATTGTGGACAGTCCTCTGAAAACATCCACTCAATGTGCAGTGGCAGTCAAAAAACAAACAGACTGCTAGGAACAAGTAGGAAAGGGATAGATAATAAAACAGAAAAGATCATAATGCTGCTATATAAGTCCATGATACACCCACACCTTGAATATTGTGTGCAATTCTGGTCACCCTATCTCCAAAAAGATATTAGAATTGGAAAAGGTACAGAGAAAGGCAACAAAAATGATTAGTGGTATGGAACAGATTCCATTTGAGGAGAGAGTGAAAAGACTGGGATTGTTCACTGTAGAAAAGACATGACTAAGGGGTCATATGACAGAGGTCTATAAAATCATGAAAGGTGTTACTTTCCCCTTCACATGACACAAGAACCAGGGGTCACACAATGAAATTAATAGGCAGCAGATTTAAAACAAACAAAAGGAAGTACTTACTCAACCTGGGACACTCGTTGCCAGGGGATGCTGGGAAGCCCAAAAGTATAACTGGGTTAAAAAAAGAATTAGATAAATTCATGGAGGATAGGTCCATCAATGGCTATTAGCCAAAGTGGTCAGGGATGCAACTCCATGCTCTGGGTGTCCTTAAACTCCTGATTGCCAGAAGCGGGGACTGGATGACAGGGGAAAGATCACTTGATAATTGCCCTGTTCTGTTAATTCCCTCTGAAGAATCTGACACTAGTCACTGTCAAAAGACAGAATACTGGGCTAGAAGAACTACTGGTCTAACCCAGTGTGGCTGTTCTCATATTTATTATTAGTATTAATTATTTGTATTACCATAGCACCTAGCATCCCTAGTCATGGACTGAGACCCCACTGTGCTAGGTGCTGTACAAACACAGCACTAAAAGGCAGTCCTTCCCCCAAGGAGCTGACAATCTAAGTATCATAGAAGGGATAAGAGGTGGGTACAGCGCAAGAAGGGTGAGCACATGGAAACAATGATACAATAGTGGTCAGGATAATGAGCAGCTGCCTAACCATTGTCAAGGGTTATTTTTTGTAGGTATCATGGCACAGGAGAGTTTTAAGAAGGGATTTGAAGGAGGAGGATGGGGTGGCTTTTTGTTGTACATTTTTTCAGTGAAAAGGGTAGAATGTCAGTGTCATCAAACAAGCATATTATATATTTGCTGTATCCTGGGACTGTTAGCCCCTTCACTTTTCCTAAAAGGAATCAGTCCCAGATTTAGACGGGGGACTAGGAGAGAGATGGGGAGTTCAGGTGTGAGTGGAGCTCTGAACAAGACTGAAGTGACAGGTTTTGCCTCTCTCTTAAGGACCTGATCTTACACAGTGGGGAACTTCCTCAACTCCGGTCCCAGACAGTGGGGATGGTGAGGAGCTCAGCACCGAGCAGGACGAAGCCCCAAATGCTTTGAAATCAGAGGAGAGTTGGTGTCACAAAGATCAAATGCAGCCTCTTCTTTTCCATGGGTGAAGCCCCCGTCCATGCAGGGGGAGATTGTCCACAGGCACACACAAACACCTAACTCCCACTGAAATTACACGCATTGGGGATCTGGATACTTGTTTCCCCTCACAGACCTTTCCTCTGGAGTCCTCAATTTCCAGTGTCACTGTTCGGTCACTACAACAGTTATTTAGTACTATACCTGTACCATGAGAGAGAACCACAACGCTTTGCCCTTCATCTGAGGATCTCAAAGCACTTTGTGAACATTTCTAGGTCTCATAACACCTCTCTGGGATAGATACAGTATTTATACCCTAATTTTGCAGATGCGGAAGCTGAAGCAGAGTCACTTGCCCAAATTCAGACAGAGAGTCAGTGGCAGACCTGGGAATAGAACCAAGAAGAGCTGCCTCCAAGTCCAGTGAGCTAACCAATAAGCAATGGTGCTGATTCTGTCTCACCCAGATTTTAACTAGAAACTTTGGATCTTCCCACTCAGAGTTTTCAATCTTCCACCAGATTTCAACTGGGAACCAAAAACAGAGGGCCCAAACCAAAACCCTGGATCTAGTCACTCCCAAACTTTGGAGAGGTCCAGATCTGAGGTTTGCCGCTCAGAATCACCTCTAGTGGACTAGACGTCACATCTCCCCGGGACCAGCCCTTGCCCCAGGAGCGATTGCCTCTAAAAGCCCAGTGCAGAAGATGCTGCTGTCAACCCGCAGCCATGACAAGACTACCCCTTCCCGCCCCTATATTGTACTGCAAAGCCTCTTCCATCTCCTGGCATGTGGGACTGATCCCACAGGATACCTTCATTTAATGGGGCAGAGGGATCTCACAGGTACTACTTTGGCCCCCTGCCTCACAAATGCCCCCAAGGTGCACAGTTGTCCAGTGCAACCTCCGTACAATTGCTTAGACATTATACAACATTTCCAAAAACTCAGCCATCTTTCTCCCCTGGCTCTGTAAACTACACCTGTTACAAGCAATAAAAAGGAGCCACACAGTCATCAAGTGGAAAATATTTTCCCCCTCCCCCTCTTTCTTCCACCTACGAGGTATGATTCTCAGGCTGCACTGTATGGATTAGATTTTCAGCGAGTCACTTATTTCTGGCAGAACCTGCCTCCGCTCTCTCTCCCTGCTCACTGGATGAGTGACACTAATCAATGGTGTGGGAGGTAAGGAGGAGATTAGCATTGCTGTGATTGACAAGCCTCACTCAGTATAGCAGTGGATACCTGAAGACCCACTGGATAGCTCTAACCCGTTGATACCACGCCCATCGCTGAAACAAAGGGCTCACTTTGTGAACAGAAACAAACAGGGCAAGTTACCGCAAAAAAGGCCTAACTCAGTGACATTTTTAATCAAGAAATTTCCCTATATTAATCACAATATGTAATCAACAGGAAAATTGGTCCCTGCTGTGGAAGGAAAGATCCCTTGAATTATCTCAGCAGGGAAGCTGGCACTAATTTATCGCTGTTTCGTGCCAAGTCTTTTTGATGCGACAGATGAATGAAGCTGATGTTTTGGACCTTGACTCTCTCATTTACCCTAAGGTCTTTTACACCGGGCTGGCAGGGCCATGTAAGAGGGAATCAGGCCCTTAGTCTTTTGAAGCATGGCTAAGGTCAAGAAAGCTGGTGCTGTTAAAACTGCTCTCTCTCTTTTCCTTTCTTTTGCCCACCCCCATCCCTGCACACCTCCAAAGTCTTGGCTGGATAGGACTCTCCTCCTCCTCCCTTCATCCCCGAAGAGCTGATATCACTTCAGAAGAGCAAGCATTGAAGCCCATTCTGCCTCATCTCAGTAAACTCGTGGGCTGAGTGCCTGTCACATTGTCGCTGGTGATATTGCTGTAGAAAGCAGCAAGGGCACAGTTTGCCTATCAGAAACATTTGCTTCCTCATTTAAAGAAAATGTCTCCCTTTAAAATATGTCACCAAATCAAAATGTATTCCCCCTCTCTCACACACCTTTTCTCCTGAATTCTGGATAGGGGAGGGGAGGCCTGTGACACAGTTTGCTTTAGCCCGAAAGAGGAGGGAGAGCTGGAAGCACCACGCTCTGGCTCTTTCCCTCTCTGTCCCCCTAGAGGAGATGGGGAACCAGCAGGGGAATAGATCCTCCTCTATGAAAAAGGGGGCAGGTAGGGAACTACCAGCCTGGACAATTCTTCTCTGCCCATCAGAGCCCAGTGCTGCTCCACCTACTGGCGGAAAGCCATGGAGGCCCAGAAATACTCCAGGCAGGGAACTGCTCCTGCTGTTACTCCCACTTCTGATTCTCCTGCCTGATGAGTCCTTATTGCACCTGCCTGTGAAGAGGCAGGAGGTTGGGGAGCTGAGAGCTCCCAGGGCCAGGAGAAGAGGAGAGCTGTATTCCCACATGCTCCTCTTTACTTTAACCACTGCGCAGCACCTCTATTGTGAGCTCACTGGCTTAGCACTTAGCTTGCTGGTTAACACTTAAGGCCCAGACTTTTGTGAGGCCACGGGCTCAGCAGCTGAGCTGATGTGAGAGGTCTTTGAGAGTGGTGCAAAGTAGCCTCCCAGCAGTCGGTCAGTCCTGATGAAAAGAGGAACTCTAGCCTAGCCCACCCCACCCTCTGGAATTCAGGGTCCGGGCTCTGGACTCGAGGCATTGGTCTGGGTTTGCTACCCAAACACCCCTGCTTTCCAAGACTACTTCCAATCACGTCTTTGCTCTATCTCCATGGGACAAAGGGAGTAAAGCCTTCCGATGGCCTGAAAACACACACAGACTTTGGACCCTGGTCCTCTTCAGAGCACAGAGAGAAATTAAAGCTTTTAAAAGAGGCTCAAACAAATACCATTTAAAAGCAAAACAGACTTACTCTGAAGTTGGTGGTGCTGCCCCTGTGATGAGCAGACAGTCTCCAGTGATTGCTCCACTTGCCCCAGCTCCTAGTACTAAAACTCAGTGGGGGTGTTTTGGTTGGCTAGCTCCCAGTACCAAGGAGAAATCAGGACCCTGAGACTGACAGTTCCCAGGAACAATGGGGAGAGGCCAATGCTTCACGTCACCCTGATTGACAGGGCGGGCAGGCTAATCAGGGAGTCAGGAGGCCAGGGGGGTCCCTTCCTCTGTGTGAGCTGGAATTGCCTGGGTCAGGCAGAGTGGGGCCAAGTAAGGAGAAAGCAGGGGCCCCGAGCTGAGCTGGGGAGCAGAGCTGTGCCAGATCCAGAGGGGCCAGAGAAGCAGCGCAGGAAGCAGGTCAGTGCTGAGAGCAGAGTCACAGAAGAGGCCGCAGAGCTGCAGCAACCAGAGCCAGAGGGGCCAGAGAAGCAGCCCAGGGAGCTGGAGGCACAGCAGGAGCTGTGCTGAGGCAGAGTGGAGCTGGAGCAGTCCAGAGCCGGGTGCTGTGAGCAGCTGGGGAGAGCGAGGGGGGACCCTGGGCAGCAGGCCCAGCACAGGGAGATGCCCCCAGCCAAGAGGCCCTGCAGGCTAGACTTGGAGGGGGATCATATCTCCAGTAGGGCAGAGGCGACACTGGGAAGGGTCCTGCCGCCTAGAGCCTGAGGGTGTGTGGCCACCACCAGAGCAAGTGTCCAACCCACAGCATCTCTGCAGCACAGCCAGGGCCTGAGAAGGAGACCTGGGACGTGTGAGGAACAGACTGTGAACTGCCCTGACATTCTAGAGACGCTGGTTGTGGCGTCCCCATGCCACAGAGTGGGGTGACACGTTTTCCTTTAACCTTTCCCCTTTTTCCTTATTTTTTTTAATTGATTGTTTAATAAATTGTATTTGCTTTGAACTGTATGTAATGATCAGTGGGTCAGGGAAGCATCTAGTGCAGAGAGAGCACCCAGGAGTGGGGACACCCTAGCCCCTGCCCTAAGTGACCACAACAAGGTTGGGGGTTGAGCCCCCCAGGAATCCTGGGCCCAGCTTTGTTGGGGTTATGAGGACTCTGCCACACGGGGGGAGTGGAAGGAGAGCCCTTGAGGTCAGGCAGAGACTGAGGACTCAGATCCTTTCACTAGCCCACTTCACCGGAGTAGTGTATAAGCCAGGAAAGTTTCCCCACAACAGCGGGACCATTCCCCCGCTTACACTAGCTTGTACTTCCTCTTAGGTGTCTCAGGCTGGTTTCCTGAGAGGCAAATGGACTTTAGCTGTTTTGTGAGCCTGCCGGTTAACCCTTGCTTTCCTGACTGGATCCACAAAGCTTTCTAAATAGGTCACTCCCTACCCCTCTTGGGACCCAGGTATGTAATATATCCCATCACAGCAAGGTTACTGACTAAGTACCTCTACAATGCTGGAATGATAGATATCAAGGCATAGGCCTCTTTTAAGTTGCTGTCGCTTGCTTGCTTATCTGATGTCAAGGAACAGGTCCCTGTAAACTCACTGACCAAACATCCCTGGTTTGCTGGTCACTAGCTCAGCAGCATTAGCCAGTTGGTATGATGTCATAGCCTCTGTGAGGTCACTGGCTTCACTCATCTAGCAAGCTGGGCTGCTGTTTAAACAGAAGAGTCTCTGAGGTTACCTCTTCAGCACTTCTACCTTGTTTGGATGATGCCAATGCACAGGTCTCTCTGAGACTACTGATTCAAACTGCTGGTCCTTCAGTGTCTGAAAAAGATCAAAGTAGGAGGAGAACCTCCCCCATTCTGGTGGATGCACGTTATTGTGCAAGTTGACATCATGTAGTGAAGTGATACTTCAATATCCTGTCAGATGGGACATGACATGTTGAAGAAAACAGAGCTATGGGAATAAATGTACTGTGCATGTGTGCACATGCAGAGTGTGCAGTTGTGTAGGGGAACAAACTTTGTCTACCCACAACCCCACAGTGGAGTACCAGGAGGGGACACGGTATTGACAGTCATTTTGTTTTCCTTCATTCTGGTGAGGGGAAGGGGCAGGCTTTTCCCCAGAAGAGAAGGGAGGCCTAGAAGTGGGAAACTCTCCTTTTTCCCTCTCTGCCCCCTTATAAGGGAGGAGGAACCAGCAGGGGGACAGATCATCCTGTAGAAGAAAGAAAGCTGATCAGAGACTCCTAGTTTGGATAATTCTCCTAGCAGGTGCTGGTGCTGCTCCACCTACTGACAGGAAGGCTTGGAGCCCCAGAAATGCCCCCAGCCGGACACCAACCAGCCCCTCCTGCTGCCCCTGCTTCAGATTCTCTTCACCAGCCCATGAAGAGCCAGGAGGAAGTGGAGGGCTGGATAGCTGAGCTCTCCATGTCCAAAAGAGGGTGAACCAACCTGTGAGCCCCTGAGATCCTTCTTACTTTAATCCCTGATTAATGAAAAGATGTTAACTGGGAAAATAACAAACAACCTTTGTCCTTGAAAGAAAAGGAGGACTTGTGGCACCTTAGAGACTAACAAATTTATTTGAGCATAAGCTTTTGTGAGCTATAGCTCACTTCATCGGATGCATTCAGTGGAAAATGCAGTGGGGAGATTTATATACATAGAAAACATGAAACAATGGGTGTTACCATACACACTGTAAAGAGAGTGATCACTTAAGGTGAGCTATTACCAGCAGGAGAGCAGGGGCGCGGGGTGGAACCTTTTGAAGTGATAATCAGGGTGGACCATTTCCAGCAGTTGACAAGAACATCTGAGAACCACTAACCCAGGAACCTATCCCTGCAACAAAGCCCGTTGCCAACTGTGTCCACATATCTATTCAGGGGACACCATCATAGGGCCTAATCACATCAGTCACACTATCAGAGGCTCGTTCACCTGCACATCTACCAATGGGAGATATGCCATCATGTGCTAGCAATGCCCCTCTCCCATGTACATTGGTCGAACTGGACAGTCTCTACGTAAAAGAATAAATGGATACAAATCAGACATCAAGAATTATAACATTCAAAAACCAGTTGGAGAACACTTCAATCTCTTTGGTCACTCGATTACAGACCTAAAAGTGGCAATTCTTCAACAAAAAAAACTTCAGAAACAGACTCCAACGAGAGACTGCTGAATTGGAATTAATTTGCAAACTGGATACAATTAACTTAGGCTTGAATAGAGACTGGGAGTGGGTGGGTCATTACACAAAGTAAAACTATTTCCCCTTGTTTATTTCCCCACCCCCACCATTCCTCAGACGTTCTTGTCAACTGCTGGAAATGGCCCACCTTGATTATCACTACAAAAGTCCCCGTCCGTCCCCCCCTGCTGGTAATAGCTCACCTTAAGTGATCACTCTCCTTACAGTGTGTATGGTAACACCCATTGTTTCATGTTCTCTATGTATATAAATCTCCCCACTGTATTTTCCACTGAATGCATCCAATGAAGTGAGCTGTAGCTCACGAAAGCTTTTATGCTCAAATACGTTTGTTAGTCTCTAAGGTGCCACAAGTACTCCTTTTCTTTTGCGAATACAGACTAACATGGCTGCTACTCTGAAACCTTTGTCCTTGAGTCAATGCAGTCCCCGGGAATGCATACCTTTGCCCAACTGTTTGAACAGAAATCAAGCGTCCCTATTTTCTAAATGTAATCAAATGAAAATAAAGACCTCTCTCAGCCATTTGACCGAGGAAATGTTCTCAGCTTAAACCCCTCTCCTGGAAAGCCACTTATTGTTCCTTTGAATGGGAACCCCGTTCAAAACAACATTGCTCTTTAATAAACATCAGACCTCAAACTCCCTCTCTACACTTAGACAATTGAGGGAACATTTTCAAAAGGAGCCAAGTGATCTGGGAGCCTGAGCCTCATGGAAAGTCAGTGGGATTGAAGGCTTCGCTGTCAATTAGGTGCTTTTGAAAATTTCACCCTTTGGCAGAACGCTGAGAAACGAGCCAGGGTGAGAATTCGCCCAGCCCGGGGAAAAGGAGCTAAGAAGTCTTTAAGCCTTAAGGAGGTTTTAGTACCGTTATACAAGGCACTGGTGAGACCTCACCTGGAATACTGTGTGCAGTTCTAGTCTCCCACGTTTAAGAAGGATGAATTCAAACTGGAACAGGTACAGAGAACGGCTACTAGGATGATCAGAGGAATGGAAAACTTGTCTTATGAAAGGAGACTCAGGGAGCTTGGCTGGGTTAGCCTAACTAAAAGAAGGTTGAGGGGAGATATGATTGCTCTCTATAAATATATCAGAGGGATAAATACCAGAGAGGGGGAGGAATTATTTAAGCTCAGTACCAATGTGGACACAAGAACAAATGGATATAAACTGGCCACTAGGAAATTTAGACTAGAAATTAGACGAAGGTTTTTAACTATCAGAGGAGTGAAGTTTTGGAATAGCCTTCCAAGGGAAGCAGTGAGGGCAAAAGAGCTATCTGACTTTAAGATTAAACTCAATAAGTTTATGGAGGAGATGGTATGATGGGATAACATGGTTTTGGTAATTAAATATTCATGGTAAATAGGCCCAGTGGCCTGTGATGGGCTATTAGATGGGGTGAGATCCGAGTTACCCAGGAAAGAATTCTCTGTAGTATCTGGCTGGTGAATCTTGCCCATATGCTCAGGGTTTAGCTGATCGCCATATTTGGGGTCGGAAAGGAATTTTCCTCCAGGGCAGATTGGAAGAGGCCCTGGAGGTTTTTCGCCTTCCTCTGTAGCATGGGGCACGGGTCACTTGCTGGAGGATTCTCTGCTCCTGGAAGTCTTTAAACTACGATTTGAGGACTTCAATAGCACAGATATAGGTGTGAGGTTTTTTTTGTAGGAGTGGTGGGTGAAATTCTGTGGCCTGCGTTGTGCAGGAGGTCAGACTAGATGATCATAATGGTCCCTTCTGACCTAAATATCTATGAATCTATAAGCCACTTTTGCGCCCTCCTGATTCCAGGCTGCTGTAGAAACCAGTGCGCTCCCAGAGGGCGGCTGTAGAAGCCAGTGAGACCCCTTCCTGCCCCCAACGCTCACCCAACAGAGGGGCTTGCAGCAGGGCCTTTTAGGACAATGTAAACTGC